ACTTTAGTAGTAAACGGACCTCTAGACAGAGAGCGCGCGCCCGTGTATAACGTGACCATCACAGCCACTGATGAAGGGACTCCGCCTCTCTCCAGCACCAGTGTCATTGCTGTACACGTTTCTGATGTGAATGACAACGCGCCGCGCTTTCCAGAGCCCGTCATTAATGTTTATGTGAAAGAGAACAGTCAGATTGGAGCTGTTATTCACACAGTATCTGCTTTAGATCCTGATGTAGGTGATAATGCCCGGATTACATTTTCTTTACTAGAAAGCTCTAAAAGCGGCCCGGTAACATCCATGATCAACATAAACTCTGACAGTGGAGATATACACAGTTTACAGTCGTTTAACTATGAGGAGATCAAAACATTTCAGTTTAAGGTTCAGGCCACAGACTCTGGTGTTCCTCCTCTCAGCAGTAACGTGACTGTGAATGTTTTTATCCTGGATGAGAATGACAACAGTCCCGGGATTCTCGCGCCCTATTCCGAGCTCGGTTCCGTTAACACAGAGAACATTCCCTATTCTGCTGACGCGGGCTACTTTGTGGCCAAGATCAGGGCTGTAGATGCAGATTCTGGTTACAATGCGCTGCTGTCTTTCCACATCTCTGAACCCAAAGGAAACAATCTGTTCCGAATCGGAACCAGCAGCGGGGAGATCAGGACTAAGAGGAGAATGAGTGACAATGACCTGAAAACTCACCCGTTGGTCATTTTGGTTTGTGATAACGGAGAGCCCTCACTGTCAGCGACTGTGTCTATTGATGTCGTGGTTGTTGAAAGCGCTGGTGACGTCAAGACCCCATTCAGACATGCGCCGATAAAGGAGGAGAGTTTCTCGGATTTAAATCTGTATTTGCTGATCGCCATTGTGTGTGTGTCCGTCATCTTTTTACTGAGCCTCATCAGTTTGATCGCGGTAAAATGCCACAGGACAGACGGCAGTTTGGGCAGGTACAGCGCCCCGATGATCACCACACACCCTGACGGGAGCTGGTCTTACTCCAAAGCTACTCAGCAGTATGACGTGTGTTTTAGCTCGGACACACTGAAGAGTGACGTAGTGGTTTTCCCCGCGCAATTTCCTCAGGCAGATGCAGAACTGATCAGTATTAATGGAGGAGACACTTTTACCAGAACACAAACACTGCCTAATAAAGAGAAGGTAAGACATTTTTCATGAAAAGTTAGTAAACAAATTTTTCAGTTCGATGTAGTTTGGTGCTGCAATTTCTTGAATTAATCGTGCTGCATATCGTTATTTCATTATTTATTTTAAATTAAAACTGAGGGGAAATGAATTATAAACCATTTCTTCTTCCCAAACTCTTTTATTCCTGTTGCGCACAGGTTTTAGAGTAGTTTATCGTATTTTGCACTTACGCTGTCCGTGGTGCTGAAAACGCAAATGCTCTAAGAAATCAGCTGCTATTTTGTCCGATATTGCCATAAACCTATAAATATATATCAGTTCCATGTCGTCTTATCCTGTCTTGTAAGTTCACTTTAATAAAAATAATAATAATTTTGTTGTTATTAACCTTGTTCAGTATGTGCGTCTGATGCCAGTGTTATACTTAGCACCAATGATGTGGGCACTTAAGCAATTTTAGACATTAAATTTATTTTAATTTCATGTTTTTATAACTGATGGATTAAACAAAAAAATGTGTTATTATATTTTATCAAGAAACAGTAGAGTTTGCAGTTGTCCGCACGATGTCACTAGCCTTCCATTTTACAGGAGTATTTCCATAACTCCTCTATAAGCTCCTCCTCATTTTGTAGCTTCTCGAGCAGAAAGGCTTTGTTCAGTATTCGCCATTGTGTCAGGAAGCTGCGAGTGCGTGGTTTCGTGTGAACGTTTCCTCAGCGACTATGCTATCGGATTTTTATGATTTTGTGATATCCAGAAGATTCAGAGGCAATGGAATCCAAACGACAATCAACATTTGGATTTGGGTTTTGGCTTTCTGTGCACTTTCTGTGTTGGCTTTGGAATATAACGAGCGGACAGTTTGTCTATTCCGTGTCTGAGGAGACAAACCCAGGAACTACGGTTGGGAATTTGGTGAAGGATTTTAATCTGAATATTCAAGATCTCGAGGTACGAGGGTTTCATATAGTTCCGGGACCGAACAAGAGGTATTTCGATATAAATACAAAAACTGGCGTTCTCCATGTCAGAGAAAGAATTGATCGAGAAGAAATCTGCGAGCAGAATATTAAATGTTCGCTGCCTTTAGAAGCCATGATTAGCTCTCCATTGAATATTTACAGATTTGAAATAAATGTTGTTGACATAAATGATAATGCACCCGCATTTCGGACATCAGTTACAAATTTAAATATCAGCGAATCAGCTATTCCAGGGGAGAGGTTTCCATTACAAAGAGCGTTTGATGCTGATGTTGGTGTTAATTCGATAAAGAGCTACAAACTGAGTCCAAATGAACATTTCTCTCTGGATGTACAGGGCGGAGGAGATCAGAGTGTATCTGCTGAGTTAGTGCTGCAGAAAGCTTTAGATCGAGAGAAACAGCCTGTGATCCAGCTCACACTGACCGCTGTAGACGGAGGAAAACCTCCCAAATCCGGTACAACAGAGATTATTGTTAACGTTGTAGATGCTAATGATAATATTCCTGTATTCAGTAAGTCTCTGTATAAAGCCAAAACCATTGAGAATGCGGCACGTGGGACTCACGTGATTACTGTTAAAGCTACTGATTTAGATGAGGGTGTGAACGGTGATATAATATATGCTCTCGTCAACCACGACAATGATAAAAATGTAAATACATTTTCGATAAACCCTGAAACGGGTGAAATTACTGTAGAAAATGAAGTAGATTATGAGCAGAAGACTGCAATAGAACTTCGAGTACAAGCAAAAGATAAAAGTATTAACCCGAAAGCGGCACACTGTAAAGTATTGGTCGAGGTTGTGGATGTGAATGACAACACGCCGGTGATATCAGTGACGTCTTTAGTGAGCACTGTAAAAGAAGATGCTCCGATTGACACAATGGTTGGAATGATCACTGTAACTGATAATGATGCTGGTAAAAACGGACAGGTCACCTTAAAGATTCAGGGATCTGTTCCTTTTAAAGTTCAGAACTCGTACAAGAATTATTATACTTTAGTAGTAAACGGTCCCCTAGACAGAGAGCGCGCGCCCGTGTATAACGTGACCATCACAGCCACTGATGAAGGGACTCCGCCTCTCTCCAGCACCAGTGTCATTGCTGTACACGTTTCTGATGTGAATGACAACGCGCCGCGCTTTCCAGAGCCCGTCATTAATGTTTATGTGAAAGAGAACAGTCAGATTGGAGCTGTTATTCATACAGTCTCTGCTTTAGATCCTGATGTAGGTGATAATGCCCGGATTACATATTCTTTACTAGAAAGCTCTAAAAGCGGCCCGGTAACATCCATGATCAACATAAACTCTGACAGTGGAGATATACACAGTTTACAGTCGTTTAACTATGAGGAGATCAAAACATTTCAGTTTAAGGTTCAGGCCACAGACTCTGGTGTTCCTCCTCTCAGCAGTAACGTGACTGTGAATGTTTTTATCCTGGATGAGAATGACAACAGTCCCGGGATTCTCGCGCCCTATTCCGAGCTCGGTTCCGTTAACACAGAGAACATTCCCTATTCTGCTGACGCGGGCTACTTTGTGGCCAAGATCAGGGCTGTAGATGCAGATTCTGGTAACAATGCGCTGCTGTCTTTCCACATCTCTGAACCCAAAGGAAACAATCTGTTCCGAATCGGAACCAGCAGCGGGGAGATCAGGACTAAGAGGAGAATGAGTGACAATGACCTGAAAACTCACCCGTTGGTCATTTTGGTTTGTGATAACGGAGAGCCCTCACTGTCAGCGACTGTGTCTATTGATGTCGTGGTTGTTGAAAGCGCTGATGACGTCAAGACCCCATTCAGACATGCGCCGATAAAGGAGGAGAGTTTCTCGGATTTAAATCTGTATTTGCTGATCGCCATTGTGTGTGTGTCCGTCATCTTTTTACTGAGCCTCATCAGTTTGATCGCGGTAAAATGCCACAGGACAGACGGCAGTTTGGGCAGGTACAGCGCCCCGATGATCACCACACACCCTGACGGGAGCTGGTCTTACTCCAAAGCTACTCAGCAGTATGACGTGTGTTTTAGCTCGGACACACTGAAGAGTGACGTAGTGGTTTTCCCCGCGCAATTTCCGCCTGCAGATGCAGAACTGATCAGTATTAATGGAGGAGACACTTTTACCAGAACACAAACACTCCCTAATAAAGAGAAGGTAAGACATTTTTCATGAAAAGTTAGTAAAACTAATTTTTCAGTTCGATTTAGTTTGGAGCTACAATTTCTTGAATTATTCGTCCTGCATACATCGTTATTTCATTATTTATTTTAAATTAAAACTAAAGGGAAATGAATTATAAACCATTTCTTCTCCCCAAACTCTTTTATTCCTGTTGCGCACAGGTTTTAGAGTAGTTTATCGTATTTTGCACTTACGCTGTCCGTGGTGCTGAAAACGCGAACGCTCTAAGAAATCAGCTGCTATTTTGTCCGATATTGCCATAAACCTATAAATACATTTCAGTTCCATGTCGTCTTATCCTGTCTTGTAAGTTCACTTTAATAATAATAATAATAATAATAATAATAATAATAATAATAATTTTGTAGTTATTAACCTTGTTCAGTATGTACGTCCGATGCCACTGTAATACTTGGGACCAATGATGTGGGCACTTAAGCCATTTTAAACATTAAATTTATTTTAATTTCATGTTTTTATAACTGATGGATTAAACAAAAAATGTGTTATTATATTTTATCAAGAAACAGAGTTTGCAGTTGTCCGCACGATGTCACTAGCCTTCCATTTTACAGGAGTATTTCCATAACTCCACTATAAGCTCCTCCTCATTTTGTAGCTTCTCGAGCAGAAAGGCTTTGTTCAGTATTCGCCATTGTGTCAGGAAGCTGCGAGTGCGTGGTTTCGTGTGAACGTTTCCTCAGCGACTATGCTATCGGATGTTTATGATTTTGTGATATCCAGAAGATTTAGAGGCAATGGAATCCAAACGGCAATCAACATTTCGCTTTTGGCTTTCTGTGCACTTTCTGTGTGGTCTTTGGAATATAACGAGCGGACAGTTTGTCTATTCCGTGTCTGAGGAAGCAAACCCAGGAACTACGGTTGGGAATTTGGTGAAGGATTTTAATCTGAATATTCAAGATCTCGAGGTACGAGGGTTTCATATAGTTCCGGGACCGAACAAGAGGTATTTCGATATAAATACAAAAACTGGCGTTCTCCATGTCAGAGAAAGAATTGATCGAGAAGAAATCTGCGAGCAGAGCATTAAATGTTCGCTGCCTTTAGAAGCCATGATTAGCTCTCCATTGAATATTTACAGATTTGAAATAAATATTGTTGACATAAATGATAATGCACCCGCATTTCAGACATCAATAATAAATCTAAATATTACCGAATCAACTTCTCCAGGGGAGAGGTTTCCATTACAGAGCGCGTTTGACGCAGATGTGGGCAGTAACGCTTTAAAGAGCTACAAACTGAGTCCAAACGAACATTTCTCTCTGGATGTACAGGGTGGAGGAGATCAGAGTGTATCTGCTGAGTTAGTGCTGCAGAAAGCTTTAGATCGAGAGAAACAGCCTGTGATCCAGCTCACACTGACCGCTGTAGACGGAGGAAAACCTCCCAAATCCGGTACAACAGAGATTATTGTTAACGTTGTAGATGTTAATGATAATATTCCTGTTTTCAGTAAGTCTCTGTATAAAGCCAAAACCATTGAGAATGCGGCACGTGGTACTCACGTGATAACTGTTCAAGCCATTGATTTAGACGAGGGTGTGAACGGTGAAATCATTTATTCAATAGTGAATCACAACAATGACAAAAACGTCGATGCATTTTCGATAAACCCAGAAACGGGTGAAATTACTGTGCAAAAATATCTAGATTACGAGCAGAGGAATGCAATCGAGCTCCGAGTACAAGCAAAAGATAAAAGTTATAACCCGAGAGCATCACACTGTAAAGTATTGGTCGAGGTTGTTGATGTGAATGACAACATACCGGTGATATCTGTGACGTCGTTGGTTAACACTGTAAAAGAAGATGCTCCGATTGACACAATGGTTGGAATGATCACTGTAACTGATAATGATGCTGGTAAAAACGGACAGGTCACCTTAAAGATTCAGGGATCTGTTCCTTTTAAAGTTCAGAACTCGTACAAAAATTATTATACATTAGTTGTTAACGGTCCTCTAGACAGAGAGCGCGCGCCCGTGTATAACGTGACCATCACAGCCACTGATGAAGGGACTCCGCCTCTCTCCAGCACCAGTGTCATTGCTGTACACGTTTCTGATGTGAATGACAACGCGCCGCGCTTTCCAGAGCCCGTCATTAATGTTTATGTGAAAGAGAACAGTCAGATTGGAGCTGTTATTCATACAGTCTCTGCTTTAGATCCTGATGTAGGTGATAATGCCCGGATTACATATTCTTTACTAGAAAGCTCTAAAAGCGGCCCGGTAACATCCATGATCAACATAAACTCTGACAGTGGAGATATACACAGTTTACAGTCGTTTAACTATGAGGAGATCAAAACATTTCAGTTTAAGGTTCAGGCCACAGACTCTGGTGTTCCTCCTCTCAGCAGTAACGTGACTGTGAATGTTTTTATCCTGGATGAGAATGACAACAGTCCCGGGATTCTCGCGCCCTATTCCGAGCTCGGTTCCGTTAACACAGAGAACATTCCCTATTCTGCTGACGCGGGCTACTTTGTGGCCAAGATCAGGGCTGTAGATGCAGATTCTGGTTACAATGCGCTGCTGTCTTTCCACATCTCTGAACCCAAAGGAAACAATCTGTTCCGAATCGGAACCAGCAGCGGGGAGATCAGGACTAAGAGGAGAATGAGTGACAATGACCTGAAAACTCACCCGTTGGTCATTTTGGTTTGTGATAACGGAGAGCCCTCACTGTCAGCGACTGTGTCTATTGATGTCGTGGTTGTTGAAAGCGCTGGTGACGTCAAGACCCCATTCAGACATGCGCCGATAAAGGAGGAGAGTTTCTCGGATTTAAATCTGTATTTGCTGATCGCCATTGTGTGTGTGTCCGTCATCTTTTTACTGAGCCTCATCAGTTTGATCGCGGTAAAATGCCACAGGACAGACGGCAGTTTGGGCAGGTACAGCGCCCCGATGATCACCACACACCCTGACGGGAGCTGGTCTTACTCCAAAGCTACTCAGCAGTATGACGTGTGTTTTAGCTCGGACACACTGAAGAGTGACGTAGTGGTTTTCCCCGCGCAATATCCCCCTGCAGATGCAGAACTGATCAGTATTAATGGAGGAGACACTTTTACCAGAACACAAACACTCCCTAATAAAGACAAGGTAAGAAATGATGACCTAGCCTATTTTTTTTCCCCTTTATATTAATTTATTAATCACAAATCTTTAAAATATATTACCAGAAAACATTGTTTTTCACTTTTCCTAAATAAACCAGTAAACATGTGTTTTGTTTAGTCATGTTATAGCCTAGTTCTCTCTCCGAAGCCACTTGGTGTCAGTATAGTGTTTTGAAACGTTCGAGCGCGCCCACATTGGCTCCTCCTCGTCCTTACTAGAGCGCCACTCACTCATGCGCTTTGTTCTATTTCGTCTTCATGGCTGCATGCATATAAATTACATATAGTGGAATACAACCAAATAATGGAATCTGTTTTGCCAATATTTCTTTTTGCATCGATTGGTGGAGTTTACAAAATAGATGCGTAATGGCGAGGATTATTCTTCTCGGCGGGACTGTTATTTGTCTGGTTTTGCTGCGCCTGCTGTCTATGGCTTCAGCCCAGATCGCATACTCCATTTCAGAGGAGGTGAACACAGGGACATTTGTTGGAAATATCGCAAAGGATCTTAATTTGAACATCCAAGAACTTGAATCACGCGGATTTCACATCCCTGCAGTTTTGGGAAGGAAATATTTTGAGGTTAATTTGAAAACGGGTGTTCTGTTCGTCAGCGAAAGGATCGACAGGGAGGAATTATGTCCTGCCTCGCCGCAATGTTCAGTGAATTTAGAAGCCATTGTTAATAATCCATTAAACCTGTTTCGCATTGAGATCAATATTTTAGACATTAATGACAATGCTCCGTCGTTTCGTGTCAGGTCTAAGCAATTTAACATATCAGAGAATGCGTTTGTTGGAGACCGATTTCAGATACCGAGAGCGTCGGATCCCGATGTTGGAGCGAACTCGCTAAAGAGCTACAAACTGAGTCCAAACGAGCATTTCTCTCTGGATGTACAGAGCGCAGGAGAGCAGAGTGTGTCTGCTGAGTTAGTGCTGCAGAAAGCTTTAGATCGAGAGAAACAAGCTGTGATCCAGCTCACACTGACCGCTGTAGACGGAGGAAAACCTCCTAAATCTGGTACAATACAGATAATAATAAATGTACAAGATGTAAATGATAACGCACCCGTGTTTGGTAAAGCTCTCTACAAAGTGCGTATTTTTGAGAATGCACCTATGGGAACATTAGTCATAAATCTGAATGCGACTGATTTGGATGAGGGTGTAAATAGTGAAATAATATATTCTTTAGTTCACCAAGACAGCGATGACAAAACAAACAAGGTTTTTAAAATTGATTCTGCTTCCGGTGTCATTTCAGTGCAGGGCAGTGTGGATTTTGAGCAACACAACGCTTATGAGATTCACGCTCAGGCTAAAGACAAAGGAGCGAGTCCGCGGTCCGCGCACTGTAAAATACTAGTAGAGGTTTTAGATATAAACGACAACGAGCCTGAAATATCCTTGACGTCGCAAGTGAACACAGTAAGGGAGGATGCTAAAAAAGAAACAACGGTTGCTTTGATAACGATATCTGACAAAGACTCGGGAAAGAATGGGACTGCGCACGGGAAAGTGGTAGGTGATGTTCCTTTTAAATTACAGTCGTCGTACAAGAATTATTATTCTCTTGTAGTGGATGGGCCGTTGGATAGAGAGCGTGTTGATCGATATAATGTCACAATCATGGCGTCAGATGAAGGGACCCCGCCTCTTTCTTCCTTACGCGTTTTGACAGTGTATGTATCTGATGTTAATGACAATCCCCCGCGTTTTCCAAATCCTGTTATAAATGTATTTGTAAAAGAAAATGGCCTTAAAGGCCAAATCATTTACACTATTTCGGCTGTTGATCCAGATTTGGATGAAAATTCCAAAATTACTTATGGAATACTGGAACCACTTCACAAATCCGGAACTACATATTCTGCTGTCAGTGTAAACCCTGACAGTGGAGATATACACAGTTTACAGTCGTTTAACTATGAGGAGATCAAAACATTTCAGTTTAAGGTTCAGGCCACAGACTCTGGTGTTCCTCCTCTCAGCAGTAACGTGACTGTGAATGTTTTTATCCTGGATGAGAATGACAACAGTCCCGGGATTCTCGCGCCCTATTCCGAGGTCGGTTCCGTTAACACAGAGAACATTCCCTATTCTGCTGACGCGGGCTACTTTGTGGCCAAGATCAGGGCTGTAGATGCAGATTCTGGTAACAATGCGCTGCTGTCTTTCCACATCTCTGAACCCAAAGGAAACAATCTGTTCCGAATCGGAACCAGCAGCGGGGAGATCAGGACTAAGAGGAGAATGAGTGACAATGACCTGAAAACTCACCCGTTGGTCATTTTGGTTTGTGATAACGGAGAGCCCTCACTGTCAGCGACTGTGTCTATCGATGTCGTGGTTGTTGAAAGCTCTGGTGACGTCAAAACCCCATTCAGACATGCGCCGATAAAGGAGGAGAGTTTCTCGGATTTAAATCTGTATTTGCTGATCGCCATTGTGTGTGTGTCCGTCATCTTTTTACTGAGCCTCATCAGTTTGATCACGGTAAAATGCCACAGGACAGACGGCAGTTTGGGCAGGTACAGCGCCCCGATGATCACCACACACCCTGACGGGAGCTGGTCTTACTCCAAAGCTACTCAGCAGTATGACGTGTGTTTTAGCTCGGACACACTGAAGAGTGACGTAGTGGTTTTCCCCGCGCAATTTCCGCCTGCAGATGCAGAACTGATCAGTATTAATGGAGGAGACACTTTTACCAGAACACAAACACTCCCTAATAAAGAGAAGGTACTTTTTAAAATGTCCTTTTTTCTTTAATTTCCCTATGTGCATACAAAAATCTTATATTGAGCTTCTGACATCTCTTTTTGAAACACGAGCTGCATTTAGATCGTATGAGAGCTCTCCGTGGTGCTGAAACACACTGCGATTGAGTATAGTTTGACTCCGTCCAGCACCAGTGTGCTGAATGGTGCCTTATTGGATACCAAAATTAGTTTGGCCAAAGTAAACGGAACAGTTTTGAGTTTTTCTAACCTTTTTATATTTTTAAGTTTTTCGCGTGCATTTGATACGCAGTTCATTTGCATATAATACACATGCACCCCACACCTCTAATTCTACCCAAACGTATAATACACACGCACCCCACCCCACTACTAAACCTACCCTAACCAACCAACGAGCATCATATGCACGTAAAAATTCATTTTAGCGTATAAATTACACATGCGTGCTATAAAGACGCATTTAGTGTGTTCGGGTTGATAACGCAGAGATTACCATGGCTGTTTGTAGGTCTGAAAATGAGTCGCAAGTTTGTCACGTGAGGCGGATTTGTCGCTGTCTGTGTCATGTTAAAGAGGTCATGCTCAGCTTTTGTGTTCCGCTGGGAAAATCTCTGGCACATAAACAGGAAAATAAAATATGCTGCCACTGGGATTGAATTTATCGATGCTATATCAATGCTCGCATGATCTTCCCGTTCTCTTCCTTGACTTATTTATTTATTTTTTTCCCACTTACAACATGCAGTACTCGTTACTGGTTGTGCACCTTTTGATAATATTGTCTCTCCCATTCATTCCAGACACTACACCTCTCTCTTTTTCAATCCACTTACTAGCCATTTCCCAATGGAAGTTTAATTTCAATTCATTTTGTTAACAGGATTCAGTTGATTAGCATTAGCAGTATCTCTCTCTCCATGCAGCTGAGGCCTCTCAGCCGGGCGTGAGCCATATGGATCATTTCTGCAGCCTATAATTTGGAGAAGGGCGGTCTTATATCCCTATATAGTTCTGTGTCATTCATAAATTAAACGTATTTTATTTCTTACATGGTTTGATAGCGTAAATGTCTCTTTCTTCAGTCTATGCATTTAAGTCGATCTGATTGTGTTTGCCTCTGCTTTAGTCTTTAGTGGATTGCATGAGCTTGCATCGTAAAAATGAAAGCCACATATTTATTTTTCTACTTAAAAATATAACAGTAAGAGTATTTAAGGGAGGGTGTGTGTGTGTGTGTGTGGGTAGGTATAATACCTAATACCTGAATATTAGAATTTCTTAGTATTTGACTGCAGCATTTAAGCTGACAAGGTCAAAAAACAAAACAAAATGTATGACCCATAAGCATGATTTGAGAATGTTCCAAATGACATATTATTGTGTGCTTGAGTTATATGCACATTTGATTAATGTTCTGTGCACAGCAACTTCTTTTTTATCGTTTTGGTGTGCTTTAATCTGTGAGGATTTATCCGTCCTGGCTTTATCTTTTTTTTTTTTTTTACAGTTGTACAGTAGACCTGCAGGTTTATTCTTTTGCTGTATTTGCTTTGTTGTGTTGAGCAGAACCACACAAAGCAGAATTCAGCTTTGTTATTGTCTCTGTGCCGGCTGAGATTTTCCTTCCGAGCTGATGCATGTTGCCTGTGTGGGAGAACGAGAGGGGGATGGGAGAGAGAAAAAAAAGGAGGAGAGTGGGGGTGTTGAGAAAGGAGAGATGGGATAAAAGGTAGAGTGAGAAATACGCAGAGAGGCAGAGAGAGAGAGAGAGAGAGAGAGGGGGGTAAATGGAGTGGGGGAAGGGACGGTAATTTTCCGTTCTGCGCCGCAGGAGCCCTTGGTTTGCAGGCTGATCTCATAGCTGTGACATCATCACTGTCAATCACACCAAAACCCCACCCTATGCTCCAGATCTGCTGAGGACAGAGTCACTCTCACAGCAACTGCAAACATAGTTGTTTATAGAGTGAGTGTGTGTGTGTGTTTATGATAGTTTGCTAATGAGAAGAGGTTGCACAATTGATGTTTGTTAATAAGAGTGTCAGCAGCAGAGGTTTCATTACAGTCTAGTGATGACTTGGTTGGTCCAGAGCATTAAATCGATTTCATGAGTACATTACTTTCATTTCTACATAGAAAGAAGAAGAATTCAGCTTATTGCTTTACATATCAGTAATTTCCCTTAGTGAAACTGGGTTTAACATCAGCTATGCTGCATTAGAACAATAAAATGCTTCCTTGTAACATGACTTGCAAGAATGAGAGCGATAAGGCAAAA